AAAAACGACTACGTTTTCTCTTACATTAGAAACTACATTTCATATTTTCCTTTCTAGTCATATGTCGAAGTAGATTCTACATCCTATTTTATTTGATTCTCCTTAGTTTTAGCACAAAATATATTTCTTATACCATAAATGAATATATTAGAAATATTCCATTACAGATATGTTATTTGTTACGAAAATATACAAATTCATATAAATCATGAACAGGTTTCGAAAGTAGTTTATCGAGAATGTGAACCAATTGGAATGAAATGTAGAATCCTTCTCAAATACTAAAAAGTTAATACATATCTAAATATTGAACCAAATTTACTTTTTCGGATAGTGTTGTAAAGAAGACATAATACTAGCAATAATATAAATTGATAATAACATAGAATACACATAGAAAACATAGAGTAAGATTCTACCGAAAATAAATATATTTATCATTTAGTTAATTCGTAATTAAATAAACAAAGTTTGATAGAATCTATATTTAATATAAACAATTTTATACAGATACTGAATTTTATTAAATTTGTTTTATATGGTAAATTTTACAGTAAGATTATAACGTAAGTTTATAAAGTAAATTTAGAAAATTTTATATTGGCATTGAGTTTTTCTACATTTGCCTTGTATAATAAATTTTGCAGAAAGGTATAAAATTTATTAAGATTTCTGTATTTAGACATGAAAGACTTATCATATTGAAAGATAAAATTTCTCCTATCGATAGAACTTGCAACATACCAATTGCTTTCTGCATTATATTCGGTCTGTAGATTGTTTATCCAGATACGCATTGGTTTATATAATAAATTTTGCAGCAAAGCATTAACTCTATTAAAAATTATTTATTCGTGAAAGATCCAATATCGAAAGATAAGATTCTTCGTGTCGATAGAATTTGTAATACTCTAACTGCATGCAACATTGTATCTAGTCTCCAAGGTATTTAGCCAGGTATACACGTTGCACCTACGCGACATTCCTTTCGTATAGCATTAAGTTGCCGTCTTCGACACAAGATTCTGCCTGTTATTCAGCCTCCGAACGATTCCTTTCTCTTTGACATCGATATTACAAATAAAAACGTGATCGCAAAAATCGCCATCAAGCGTGTCGATCGCGTTGCGGTACGGTTAAATAAGACAGAAAGGAGATTGGCAACGCGTGAAGCAGATTAATTTGAATGCGCAAACCCGTCACGTCATGGAATCCAAGCCTATGATTTACAGATTTAAATACGGATTTTCCAGCCACGACACGACGGCGAGTGTTGGTTAGCAATGTTGGATTCTCTTATGAACGAGTCTGCACGAGTGATTTAGACTGGTGAAGGGTACAGGTGAAAGTTGCTTAAAACATTTATCCAATTTATCCTACTCACAGTTTGTTTTATCGCTTTGTTTCTTTCATTCGCTCTCGAGCTTCCTCTACCTTTCTTTGAACATTAATTTTGGGCGTGAATTTTTTTATTGACTGTTATAGACATGGATTTTTAAAAAGAAAGTCTTTTTAACGCAATCTTTTTCTTAGGGCGTTAACTTTAAGCGCGAAGATTGGAAAATGAATTGTTTGTGATTATTAGAGACATGCATATTTAAAGAAAAATTTGTTTTATCGGCTTTTTCTTTTGTTTTCCCATTTTTCTTTCTTCCCCTATAATCGTGATAGTTATTTCTCATTATAGTATTAATGTAATTCTAAACAGTTTCATATAACGCACATAATACACATTATTACATCCATAAAAATGTTATCATATCTATAAGCGTTCGAGGACTTTCGTAAGCTACTATGAGTTAAATTTAGTTTAATGTACAGTTATGTATAGTGTTTTAGTTATGTGTAAGTTCACTCTAGTTGAATGTTTCAAATTCGTTGAATAATCTTTAGCGTATATTTAATGATGGTTGTATTGCTGTATTACGATTTATAAAAAGCTACTTATTTGATTGCTATACTTTTAAACACGAACAAATAATCGTAATTAACACGAAGCTGTAGAATTCAATAGATGGATTATCGTTTAATGGCATGTTAAGTTATGTTTTGATGGTTTATGTGCTTATATGAAATAAAGTAAACAACAGTTAAACAACTAATGAATTTTAAAAATTAGTACAGGTGTAATCATAGGAAATAGATAAATAAAACTTGAAATATAAACAATATCAAATTGGAAAATAGGAAAAGATGGATAGACGAATATTTATTTGTGACATGGTATAAAAACACATTAAAAGAATGCTTATAATAATGTTCATTACTGTAAAAAGTAACGGTGGTTGGTTCGACTATACAATAGAGCAACGGCATCCATACAATGAAAGGAGAAACGTGTCAAAGTTGTATAAATTAAGAATTTGTGCTCTGATCCGTAATTATAAAAGTGAAGTATCAAGGGAGTGGAATTCTCACGAAATTATTTTTGGTATAATGAACGGTAATTTCAAGTTCATCCTACATCTGTGAATATCTTTTTAGTTTCCTGTAATACGAATAATTGATATTTCTAAGAAATATATACCGATGAACATTCTGTTTATTTACAAATTTTTATTGTATGTTGTTTAAGAACTATAAAATACTAACGAAAAAGATACAGCTTTTGGTTTAATTTTATCATGATTTATAAAAATTTTATCAACTTATAATGTATTAAAATGTTTCTTAACAAGTGAAAAAATTGCAGTTTTTTGCAAGTATATTTATGTCTTGCAACAAGTGTCTATTAATTGTAAAAAAAGACCACAAATATCGCTTAACTTAGTTTCGTATTGCTAATATGATATTATTATTAATAATATTCAGTTTGACATATTTCTATTATAAAATAGATATTTCATTACTAATTAAGAGACTCAGTAAATGAAAGATACGTATAAAATAATTTTGCATTTGAAGAAGCTATAAATAAAATTAGATTTTAGATTGGAGTTTAGAAGTAGATCATATTATTAGTCGAAAGGGTTTGGTAATTCATACCAATATCGTTTAGACAAATGTACAATTATGTATAAGTATATTACGTACATTACATACATAAGTAATCGTCTACTTATTTTATTTGTAGGAAAAGAATTGTTCCATCAAGCCTTCCTATTGAATTTTACTTTACTTTATTAGAATTTTATTGGAATATATTGCAGTGTTTACGTTCATACTGTCACAATTATCTGCATACTGTACAAAACCGTTTAAAAAGATATTTGTTTAACTTTGATAAGATGTAATTTTGCCACACGATTATAGATGAAAAAGAATAACAATATACCATAAAAACAATGAAACCGTAAGAACATCGTTTTTTATGAACATTGTAGTTATAATTAAACATTATGATGATCAAATTGTCTTTTAAAAACTAATATGCAATAATAAAATCGATGTACATGTTTATCAAAGATTATGGAACTACCTCGCTATTAGAATTTCATTGATTGTTTAATTTCCAAACTATGAATTAGATAAAAAATGTTTTTCTAAAGTGATACATATATTGAGAAAGAAATATATTGATTATTATTATTAAATATTTTCTCCTAATAGATAATATAGGTTTATAGTCTGTTAACTAGGTAATAAAATAGTAAATATTGCTTTTACATATTTACTTATTAATTTATACATTTTGATACAATTTATATACTAATGCTACAAATACGCCAAAAATTTTTAAGCAATAATTTCTTTTCTCGTTTATTAGTTAAAGAAAAAGAAGCTCGAAGCTCAATGTTAGCATTGAAATTCCCCAAACATCAATCTCGTTATCTAAAACGAAACCCAACGTTTCCGAACAGAGTTAAATAGAAAGTCGTTGTCGCAACTTGTGAAAGAGACTTGCACCTAGAATTCTTTTAACCCACTCTTTCGTGAGACTGAGGTTGAAGGTACAGACTATGTATGTACTTATGCCCGTGAAAGAAAGAACAGCTACTTAGTCGATAACCGATAACAGTTGCGACATGATTGCCAAGATGCACGACTCGAGGTAGTCGAAGAATGTGTCACGTAAAATTGATACTTGGGTTGTAAGAGAAAAGAAAGCTGAGTCGTAACCCAACTATTAATTTTCTCTCATCGAACTTTATTATAATTTTAGCACTTGCAATAACTTTTCTTTTTTTTTTATTATTTATTTGTTGAAATTACAATCAATTCTCGCGTTGAGAATTTTCAGTAATTTTTCTGGCGTGGCGCAGTGACATGGCTGTTTATTTTCAAAAAGTTAATACTTATTATAGATAGGTATAATTTATAAGTATTATAAGTAAGCGTATATGCTTAGTTTGAATAACTAAATGAATCTAGCGTTTAGGTCTAGCGGGTAGTGCCTCTTCAGCCTGCGAATCTGGTCCGTCGTGTCAAGTAGTCCAGTGATTAAGGGGTTTCGGTGTTTGTTGACTCTTTTGTTATATCTGTCGCTATATTTTGCTATTTCCTCTTTGACTGTTGGTATCTTGAGGTCGAGATGGATGGTTTCGTTGGTAACATACCAGGGTGCGTCTATTAAGGCTCTTAGCGTTTTCGATTGGAATCTTTGTAGTATTTCGATGTTGGAGTTACTAGCTGTTCCCCATAGTTGGATTCCGTAGGTCCAGACAGGTTTTATTCCGGTCTTGTAGAGGGTAATTTTATTCTGTATGTTTAGTTTGGAGCGTCGGCCCGTGAGCCAATAGAATTTTTTTAGTTTGTCCTTTAGTTGCTTCGTTTTATGTGTTTCTTCCACGTTAGTCTCCTGTCCAGGGTCATGCCCAGGTATCGGACTGACTTGCAATAACTGAACCGTAAAAAGGGGGTTGTACAAGAACAGCGACTAGAACAAGAACTGCCCGAGCTGGGTGAAGTCTCGGTTTATATACGTTTTGGTTTGAGGATGTTAAGGGGCTCGGTGTAGGTTATGATGTGGATTAAGGATAAGGTGGTGATGTGTCCAAAGGAGTCCGAAGCTCGGGGTTGATGTTTTATCTTTGATGTAGGTTGAGATGCGATTGATGTCACAAATGCAGAGATCGTTGGATAAACGTGCAGCTATCCAATTTACACGTTACGAGTTTGCGTTAATAGATAGACGAATAAAGGGTGTCCCACATGTAACAGCCAAGTTTTGTCCTATAACCAAGCAAAAATGTTATACAAATGTAGATCATTTAAAGTCTTATTAACAAGTTTTAGTAAAGATACGAAATACAAAGAGAACGGATTTTTAAATTGAGTATAGAAATTCTTCTTCTACTTCCGACTTATGTAACAGGCTTTTGTAATTTATCTCGACATGGAATATTTGTAGAAAAATGAAAACTTCTTTTATTTATGCTTTGAAATAATATTTACGTAATTTTTACACGTTAAGTTACTCCTTGATTCTTAATGGAGCAACGAACCAATTGATTTCTTATATGAGTTTATCACACGTGTTAAGATACTTTGATATGGAAGTGGAAGTATTTAAACACTTGCAGAAATTTTTTATGAATATGTTATATGTTATACAATATTTTTTGAGATTATATTAATAAAGTGTGAAACAAATCTGAAAATGTATATATTAAAAGAAACAGGATACTTAGTGTAAGTAACTCAATATTCTATAAGACCGTCTTTGACATTTATTAACATTTATTTATTATGTTTAAGATGTCAATTTATGCTTCATACCTACTAATCGTTTACTAATTATATGTTTGCAATAAACATACTGTTGTTCTACATTTTCATATTAGTTTCAAATTTTATTAATATAATCGTGCCAGTTGTGCCTCATTATAGTGTTAACAAAATTTCAAAATATTTTAATACATACCCATAATATATTATACAGGGTGATTGGTAAAAAAGAAGTCGAAAATATAGAATAAAAGATCCTTTTTTTAATTTTTTTCGTATCCGCACGCGTACCGAGCGAAAATTCAAAGTCGATTTTCTCAAAAACAAAGCCTCGAACGAAAAATTGTTATTCTATATTTTCGACTTCTTTTTTCGCGTAGAATCACCCCCTTTCCGCGTGTACCACCAGTTACCAACCACCCTGTATAAAGCTTTCCTATACACGTATAGTCTCGTGAGTCACTGTACGTCTTTGCAGTGTAAGATATTCTTGACGCGATTTTATGTCGTATGGCAACGGTGCTCTTCGTTAAAAGAACGCATTAGGGAAGTTTATTTCGCTTGCTACGTACAGGCGTGCGTTCTTTCTCATCGTTTACTTCGCACGCTTGCCTACCTTTTTTCATTGTTGCTTCGAACTGCACGTGTTTCCTGTTTAGACGTGTTTCTTACAGCTTCGGGCATTTTTCTGTCTCCCGATTTCTTTCTTGTTTTCGTTTCTTCTACTTGTTCATGTTGCTTAAGATTCTCTTTGTTCGACAAAAAGATAATTGGAATTCATTTTTTTGTGAATTGTTCTGTGAAAAATGTCGTGTTAGGAAAGTAAGAATGAATGTTAATCTTTCCAGAACCGAATTTGTTTTCTTATCAGTTATTCATAGTAGAAACGCATTGCAGAATTGGTTTCACTAAATAGAGATCAGTTTTATCGGAAATAAATACATTTATCGTTTAATTAATAACTTATTTAAGATACGATCTGAATAGAATCGGAGTTTCGATTAAATTTATAATATATCTATATGACTAAGTATGTATAGATGTTCTTATTCTGCTTGAATAAAATATTATTTTGTATAAATAATTTTGTAGTTTAATTATCACTTTTAATTTTAATTCTTATGATCGTATCGATGTATCACAGAAAGAGTAATAACATATTAATAAGTTTTATTTACGTATTATAATCTAATGATCCAAAATGATCATTTTTGCAGCTAAATGCATGTAAGAAATAGGATTGCTTTGAACGTGCATTACGTGATACTATAAGTACCTATTGTATATTCTTAAAAGTTTATAATGTACTCTAAGGATGTTAAATATTATCACAGCCATATTTTTTAAAATACATAGTAGAAAATAATCCTTTATTCTGCACAGATTCATTTAGAAAGTGTTTTCTTCATTATTTTATTATAAGAAGAGGAATATTCCTAGAAATTTGTATAAATAATTATATATATTTCTATATATAATTATAGAAATATAGAATTTTCACTTCTTTGCAAAATTCCACTGTTGCACATCACACATTACATTCAAAAGCTTATAAGTCATTAAAATTGTTAAGCTTTGAAAAATTGAAAAGATAAGGAGAAAGGTAAAGAAAAAGACAATTTCTATCAGATTCCAGAGATTTTTCTTTTACGTCAATATATGTTTAACACACTAAACTATACCTTAAAAGTCTTTTGTCTTCTATTGTACCAAGAAAATCTCAAGTATTTGAAAAACTTCTTAGAGATTTCTTAATAAAAGAATCATCGGTTGTGTATCGTGGATAAACGAGCACCCGTTTGCTAAACCAAAAGAACGCATGACTGGTAACCCGCAAACTCGTACTTTAATCGGTAATCCAGGAATGTGTTCCGGGAACGATTTTTCCGCGCTTTTTCTGCTACTTGTTGCAACGGTTTTCCTTCGCGAATGAAGACGAGCAAGCACGGCCGTGATGGCTTTTTTCAACGTAAGGAATTCGAGCGAAAAAATGTTCAACGAAGCCGTGTGACAAAATAAAGCGGCGGACGACTCGGCTACTCGCCAGATGAATTAACGTTTAAAACAGCCGGCCACATAATCGGGTCGCCAGACACCAAACAAGAACTCGCATCCAACCTTCACCGATAATCGCTTGCCTGCAGAAGGCCTGGTCGAAATACACGTTATGCTTGAAGAACCTCATTACGTTTTCGAACAGATTTTCATCACTTAATGTTTATAAAAATTGTTGAGTATTACTATACATTGAGGAACGAAGAACATACTGACATAAACCAAATTTTCTTCTAAAACACGATATAAATTTGTAAAACATACGATTCTTTATAGGATATAGTTTTCAAATTTAAAGTTCAAGTATATCGTACCATAATTTATTATCGTTGAGTAGATATAGAATAAAAGTAAATAATATGTGCGGACTATTTCAAAGAAAATATAACATTTCAATTATTGTAAAACCGATACGAACATTGATTTTAAGATCGTTTTAGGAACGATAAAATTAGGATACAACATTTATAACGTTAGGAACTATATTTTTCAGGAAAATTAAATAAGTTGCGTAGGATACACAAGCTTTCCTTAAAGCTATTCTGTGCCAATATTTTATTTGTACTGTTATATACAGTTTCTGTCTTCTGGATAAATGTAACGGTAATTATTTGGAACAGGAGCGACCTCACCGATTTCAGTGACCTTGAAATATGTTGTCAAGGTCATCATTCTGAACAACTTTTTCTTATACGTGTAACTACCACTCGGTCTTAGTTCTCGAGATGACGGGGAAAAACCGTCGGTACCATTACAGTAAATTCTGCCCATATGTGTAAATCTGTGACACAGTACAAGCGTAGCTGACACGTTGATCGTTTCGTTAACCACTTAGCGATCTATTTACATCTATCAACTATCGAACTCTTCTTCTTTGTATTATGTTTTACGAATTTAGACAAACAGCTTCACCGAAAACCTCCTTAACAATTGCTTATACGAGGCTGCAAGAAACGTCTTCGAAAATTTTATTTTAACATCCTACCTAACATAAAAATCTACGTAGTAACATTATCAGTAGATTATCAATTTCGCATACGAGCAAAGGTGGTCCGATTTTTGACCAAAACAGTATTTTCTTCAAAATTCCTTGCTTACATGCTCCGCTCACTGGTGAGATTGGTATCAGGTTGGACTGGATTTTTACGAGCGAGTGGAGTGAACAAGCAACGCGTGCGATGATGAAGTAAAATTTTCGAAGGCATTTCTTACAGTTTCGCATATGCTGTTGTGAACGAAGTTTTCGTTGAAACTGTTTATTGAGATTTACCGATGACATAATTTTCACAATCGAATAACTGCGTTTTTCAATATATTGGCATAAATATTTCCAGTTATACAGGGTGGTTGGTAACAGGTGGTACAAGCGGAAACGGGGTGATTCTACGCGAAAAAAGAAGTCGAAAATATAGAATAAAAATTTTTCGTTTGAGACTTTGTTTTCGAAAAAATCGACTTTAAATTTTCGCTCGGTACGCGTACGGTACGTTATAACGGATCTCACTGTAGATCGTTGTCTCGATGGAAAAATAAAAAAAAAAAAATTTTTTTTAATTTTTATTCTATATTTTCGACTTCTTTTTTCACATAGAATCAGCCCCTTTCCGCTTGTACCATCCATGTAGCATCGATAATGGTAAATGTTGACAAATATAACTTAAAATTAATTTGAATTTAATTTAAATCTAACCCAAATGCTACATATCGTTGAATATACAGCGTCAAAAATATTTTTGCCTACATTTCGGAAACTAAAACCGAGCGGCGGTAACATGTATAGGAAAAAGTTGTTCATTATGATGACCTTGACAACGTATTTCAAGATCATTGAAATCGGGGAGATCGCGCTCAAAATATAATGTAACGAACATCAATATGATCAATAAGAAAATAATACACTATTCTATTAAATCGTATAATACATTTCTTTGACTTTCTTTAAAAAATATCAACGATCGTTCTTTTTATGTGAAACATATACTTAATTAATGTTACAAGCTTTGTTACATTATCTATTTGCAAATGGATTAAATAACCTTTTACTCCGTCACTCTAAAGTCCTTATCCTTTTATGAAAGAATTGCAATATATAAAAATACATGTATGTATATACATCTAATTATACATAGAATATGTAGACAAGCTGAACTACTTGAAAGGAAGGGGAGAAAGAGCAAGCCAAAATTTATTAGCCAGAACGAAATGCGGAAACCAAGAGGAAGATAGCAATTTATGAAGAGAAGAGAAAGATAGGCTACGCGGCGTATGTGAATTGAACATAGGCATACTAAAACATCTGCTGGAAGATTGCATTTACATAGAAATAACTGAACTGGCACTGAATGAAATACGAAACGCGAAGGCCATGATAGATTGCTTAAGAAGAGTAGCTCAATTAAGAGAGGAAGAAGCGAGAGAGAGGAAATAACAACGATGTCAAAAGGAAATTGTAGTGATAATGCCGTGCCAATAATAGATTCTTTCGTGATCGTTAGTTACAGATGTAGATTTAAATGGCAATAAGTTTAGATGTAAATGGATGCGCGAGGATCAGAGACTGAGAGATGAGTAAGTGTGAGTTCATTGGATACATCAAGTAGGTATACTGTATTATACATGTAATTCAGGTTTATTTCTTGGCCGCGAGATTCAAATGAAACAAATAGTTAGTATATTTATATTATGCTTATAATGATTGTTGATTATAATTATAACGATTGAATATATTGTTGATAATAATATTGTCTAAATATCGCAATAATCAACGTCACAATAATAATAGTACAGTAAATGCTCCAATAATTTGAAATATCGTAAACACGAACGAAATTGGAAAAATTTCTGCTCTGTTATAAAAGGAGAAGTCCAAAATGTGTATAAATATGAACAAACAGTTCTTTTGTGAAGCACTCAAATGTTCATTTTTCCTCCAGTGTTGTCGTTAAATGATGTATCTAATCATCATAAATAATATTTAGCTATATTATTTGTAAATTTTTCCACTTCAGTCAACATAAATAATGCTTCTATAATAGATATTCCTTAAAATGTAACACCTAAAGACGACGAAAATATATTTGTTTAATTATGAAAGCCTATTTTTCAATACATTTTTTGACTAAAAATAATGGTATTATGAACTTTTTGTACTTTTTAGATTTCCTCTTTTTTTACCGAAATAATTTACAAAGTTATTATTAATTATGTATGACGATCAACTTTTATGTTATTCTTGAGATAAGACGATTCGTGAAGAATAAAAGAACAGTTAGTAGCATATATTTACTTACTTACCTTACTTACTTACATATATAAAAAGTAGCGGTATTTCTGCGAATCTAATTGATGTTTGAGAGGAATTTTAATGAATACACTTCTACGCATATATTTTTTAATTGTTCGTTGTATTAGAATGTTAAAATCATTGTTATTAGTTATGAAACACGAAGACATATTTCTGAAGAAAATAGCGAAAAGTTTCAGTTTTCTGTTACATTAAAGTTCACATATTAGATTTATCATAGAAAACACTTCATTTTCGTTTATGTAAAAATTCAACATCAATTATTAAATGAAACAAAAAATGTTCCATTATTCTTTGCTTTTTCAGGTGATACTTTTTATGTTAGCAAATCATCGATACTTCACTAATTATATTTATATAATTAGAAATTGTATCCCATGAGAAATGGAAGATATATTTATCATACAATTTTCCATATCATTTTAATCTGTAATTAATGTGCCTTTTTTGAAACTAAAGAATTTGTATTATTCATATAATTGTAGATAAGAGGTAGAATAAAACTAGTAGTAGATAATGTAACGCATTATTGTGAAATGAAAATTAAACACTAAACAATTTAACATTTTATGCGTTATGTTATTACTAAAAAAAAATTATACTAAGATATGAACGTTACAAAATTATAATTTAATTAGGTAGCGGTTTTCTCTTGATTATAGTGAGTATAGCATTTTTAAATTATTAAAAACTATTAACAAATTAATAGTATCAGAATAGTATTTAGGTAATATTAAAAACAAATTTTTGTTTATGTATGTGAAAATTATAATCATATAATAACTATCTTCGTCTGAAATGAAAACCTGTTACACGTATACTGTATAACAATTCACTAAAAAGGTTCATTCTTGTGTCAGCATTCATGTCTCTGAGAAAGATGAATACTTCGTTGTGCGTGCAATAATTCAGGCTTGTTTTATACAATTTCCATGAAGCTTCGTGTAGCATAATTGATTTCTATATAACGCATTTACATATTAAATAAAACATTATTAACACATATGATACAATGTAGATGAATCATAATGTAAATAATTCTTAGACTGTGGAAGTTTATGTATAAATGTTATGCAAAAATGCATCTTAAATGCAGAATGTAGGTATATAATATTCAAAAAATGTATAAAATAAAATAAAAGTGTATAATCGTTATAATATTTAGTAAGTGAAACAAATTTTCGCACGAGTCCAATGTTTTTAATTGTCTTCGTAAAAATATAAATTTACATAAAATCCGCAGTCTGTTGATTATATACAGGGTTGTTGGTAACTGGTGGTACAAGCGGGAAGGGAGCGATTCTACGCGAAAAAAGAAGTCAAAATATAGAATAAAAATTTTTCGTCTGAGGCTTTGTTTTCGAAAAAATCGACTTTGAATTTGCGCTCGATACGCGTGCACTTTATCACGTCTCGTTATAACGGATCTCACTGTAGATTTTTAAAAAAAGGAAAAGCAAATTAAAAAAAATTTTTATTCTATATTTTCGACTTCTTTTTTCGCGTAGAACCACCCCCTTTGCGCTTGTACCACCAGTTACCAACCACCCTGTATATAGATGTATACTTTACAAACACAATTAGTTACAAAAGTTTATATACATCATTGTTATATAATCACTTATACTTAAATATCAATATAAAATGGCTTCGTATTTACCGTATTTGCAAAAAGTTTTAAAATAATACAAACGTTTAACGTATAAAAACTTTCAGATGAAATTAGGTATAAGCTAGAAATTTAAAAATCTTTAATTTGTTAATGCCTATTTTAAGGGACTTAATATATTTTGGATAAGAAGATATATGTAATGCCACATTTAAAAAAGTCATCTTCATTTCGAAATTCTCTTTGCTGCTCTTGCAAAGGAATTATTAATATCATTTAATCATTTATTAATACCCGGATATGTTTAGTAGACTTTTAAAAAATAACAATGTTCTTCGCAGCAATATCATAAAACTAAAACTATTGTCTTTTATTCCTGAATAGCTACTCTCAAGATTCGGAACTGTTTCGTATGTCAGACGTAGATCTTTAATAGTGATATTACTTTGTATCCACTTGAGAGTAAATTACAAAACGGACACTCTGTAATAGTTGAATCACAGTCATAGACAGTTATTCTCAGATACAAATGTCAATTCGTAATAATTTTTCTATCAAATGAATACATACTTTTAGAGTTAAATATTCGCGAATCAGTCGCGACGTCTGACCATAAGGCTGACTATTATCAACCGAATCTATTGATCGACGCCTCATTCCTTGTCAGTACGTTCTGAGTCAAGACTTATGCCTTTGTATTGCCTTTGCATTTAAGTAAAATCAATTCGTAACGCAACGTATTAATTAAAACTTAAAAATAAATTAATTTATACAAATTATTAATTATGTTACAAAATTAAGTTTACAACGAACCTAATACCTAGTCTTACTTTATTATTCAATTAAATGTTAATAATTATAAGGCATATCGTTTTGTAATATAATTTGATTTAAATTAATTTGATTCAAATATAAACGAGAAAGTATTATAGTAAGCTATTTGTTGCACTATCCGTACATTTCAATGTTTTCGAATATAATACATAGTATAAGTCTAATAATACTCTAACAATCTATAAAATATCCAAACAAAAGAGCCATTATGCTGTTCGAATATTTGAGCCGTTCTCCTTGTTCGATTGCCTTTCCCTCGCCCTTTCCTGTGTTTGTCTTCTTACTTCCTCTTCTTGGCAATTTCCCTCTCGTATATCCTCGTCTATTGCGCACTTTGGCATTTCGTCTCGCCTTCAACATCTCTGTCCCCTCCTCTAGTTGCCTCTCCACTCCTAGACCGTTCAGTTATTCCAGCAACTTCTCATTCATTTTTTTCGTGCACGTTATAAGCAAGAAAGTATTCGATTTGTAAAGTTATAGCGATAAATATATTTTAAAAGCTATAGAAAAACAAATATGTTACAAAAATGATGTAAAAACAAATATACTGCATAGTAAATATTTTAGTTCGAGTATGAAATTAATATGAATTTAAGTAATCCAGAAATTATGTGAGAAAGGAATGTTTATTTTCATGGAGATGTTTTAACCGAAAAAGAGAATTAAGAAGCAATACCTTCGGTGATCGGCAGTATAAAACCTTGAAATCTTTTCATCAGATTGCCTTGAACGGGTCTTGAAGTAACTATATGTGCCTTGTAACATTATATTCTGGCATAAATATATGTTTCGCGGTTTTATGAGTGCGAACAAGTTAAAATTTCACAAGCCTTTTCTTATTTCAGTTGCTTTAAATGGGACACAAATCTCATTTATTATTTGACATATTACGTTCACAAAGTTATTTAATTATAATAATACAAAATGCATAAATGTTAATTGAATAATTTATTGATGTAAAAATTACCATAGTATACAGCTTGAAGCCTTTAAAAAAGTAGGAGAGAGAGAAAAATGTACTAGTCTAAATCCAATTTAATTTAACGAAATGACGATGATTATGCGTTTCATATTGTTTTACAGAATACATAATGAGAATATAATTCTTTTAAACGTACATACCTCTATACCGTTTTGAAATGAAACATGAAAAGCGAAACAATTTAAAAGTTAGAATATTCAGTTTCATGATTCTAGGAATGAGCTATTATCAGTATTCTAAAAGTTGCGAAAAATATTGTATATTCCTGAATTGCAAAATTCATGTTTTACATGTATTTTATTCATAAAAATTAACACTGTTAATATTCCTGCTGAAATAATAATTTTTTATCTCCCTGACAATTAATTTAGTACAAATATTTGCACATACATTTTAAAACTGTCAGCCACAAATGTCTAGATTTATTTGACATAAAATTTATAACAGTTTGATCTGTACTTTCTCTTTCGCGATTGTAAAACAACTTGGAGCAAGTGAAGGAAAAACATAAACTATCGCAATTACTTATAAGGAGGAAAAAAATATGTCAAAAAAAATATTTCTTTCGCCAAACATTTGCACATTAAATAAAAGAATTCGTGTAATTCGTCTCTAAATGAATTTTTCGTGCGTGTCGCCGTGCATGAAAGTGAAGCGTCATGCTAAGGAATATTTAAGGACCGACGATGACCTCACCGAAGTGAAAGTTCTCCGATTCAGTTCCCTGTAGTCGTTAAATGAGCAAAAGGTAAAAAGCAGAGAAAAAAGGCTCGCACGGCCTCTTTCGATTCCCCATAAGCCTCCAATGTATCCACTTCCGGAAGGTAACACGTTCCTTATTGACGTTACGACCTTGGTCGATCCCACGAAATCGATCGTTTCGAAACACCAGCCTCTAATTAACAGTTTCTCTGCCTTCTTCTTTCCGTCATAGCACAAATTCAAACGATACGATAAAATTATTATACGTTGTGAGACAGTCACAGATAATGAAACGATATTAAAAATTATGGTTCCTTTCGTTTCGAGCGAAGCATCTTCCTCCCCGGGCATTTATTTTGTGATGTAAACAGAATTCTCTATGCCCTTTTCAAATGTGGCTTTACTATGGCTTTTAACAGGATGCAAAGATACATAATGTAAAATAATGTATAAAAGCAAGATAAAAATGTTATATTCCAATTCCGCATGATAAATGTTATAGTCTAATACCTAGATTTCGTTAAGGATTTCAAATTATTTTATTGTATTATTGTATAGCGTTTTTTATTTTATAAGAATAGACAGTTTCTTTATTGATTGTATAATATCACACAAATCATTATAAATAAATTATGTTCATTTGTAATTATAAATTGAGCATTATAAATTTTGGAAAAGAATTGAATTTTTGTTATTATAGTATTAAGTAATACTTTGAATTCTAATTTTTATTTGGTGAACCCAATTCTTGAAAAGACAAATTAACTCGTTTTTACATATACAAATTAATTTGTTAATTACATATATCTATTAGCTTATCGATGTCCTAAGTTTAATAATTTATTATCCAAGAATCCTTTGTTTTTAGGTTTAATTTATTCAGTTGCATTTCTATTATGTGAATATTAGATGCTAAGCCATATTTAATACTTATATCTGTGAAGACTACAATTAGTCCACACCATTGAATAATTTTTAGCTTCGAGTTGACTAAGAAATATGCTAGTAGGATATTTAGATTATTATATTAATATTGGATTAAATTAACAATACTAAACAATGTCAATATGATGTATAATTCATTAAACATAATTTTTTATAACATATAATATATTAAAATTTTGTGTAGGTATTCAATTTTGTTGAATTATCTGTATATAATATATTAAAATTCTGCAGTATTGTATGGTCTCTTATTGCTAATTATTTATAATATACTTGTTGGAATTTCTCATCAATACAGTAAAAGTGTGTAGGATTTCTATATTCATTTTGCTGAATTCGTGATTCATTTTGCGATCGTGTTCTAAAAATCTTTCGATGGCTTGCGGTGAAATTTTATGCAGAAATGAGAAACCATCGCCGGTATAGTTTTGCAGTGTCCGAGCGAAAGATGGAAACCGAATAGCTCACTTTCAGATCCTGTTGCGTCTCGCATTACTTATTTACCGATCTAACCATTCTCTATGACTCACTTTTAAGACCTGCAACCGTAATTGCTGCAACAGATAAGTATGTTTCAACTATATTTTCAATGAAGAAATTCAATAAATAATTAGATATTATGTAGAAATTATTTAGCAATATACTTATGAAGATACCTGTAGATAAAAGACAAAAGACTTGTAGATAATTTAATATTGTGTATCGTCTTTTCATTTGTTTCTAAACAACATCTATTTATTTTTATCAATTTGAAAATTTTATTTATTCAACTATTTAACGGGCATAAGGTCTTTGGTATCGGATACGTGAGTGTAAGAGCTGATATAAAGAAGAATAAACAGTAAATATAAGTAACCATTTTTACAATTTCATCTGATATATTATGGGTGTCTGGAAGGAGGTTGCAGATCCGTGAAAGAAGTCGACGATTACACTAATGTTGTTCGCAATTGAGCACGATCTATTAATTTTTTTTTTTTTTTATTTATTTTATTTGTTGAAATTACAATCAATTCTCGCGTTGAGAATTTTCAGTAATTTTTCTGGCGTGGCGCAGTGACATGGCTGTTTATTTACAATAAGTTATACTTATTATAGATAGGTATAATTTATTAGTGTTATAGGTAAGTGCATATGCTTAATTTGGATAATTAAATGAATCTAACGTTTAGGTCTAGCGGGTAGTGCCTCTTCAGCATGCGAATCTGGTCCGTCGTATCAAGTAGCCCAGTGATTAGGGGTTTTCGGTGTTTGTTGACTCTTTTGCCATATTTGTCGCTATATTTTGCTATTTCTTCTTTGACTGTTGGTATCTTGAGGTCGCGATGGATGGTTTCGTTGGTAACATACCAGAATGCGTCTATTAAGGCTCTTAGCGTTTTCGATTGGAATCTTTGTAGTAATTAATCTTTGTAGTAATCTTGTAATTTCGATGTTGGAGTTACTAGGGATCTATTAATACAATCGGGATTATTGAAGTTAGTTCGGTATGGAGCGACATAAAAAAGTTGCCTCTTTCTAATGGGAATCATCTCATGGGAATACCGAGTTCGCTATGGTTCTGCGTTATTCAAAACTGAACATATTCAAAGCGATAAGAATATTTTTATAATATGGAAATTTTTGGGTATCGATTTATTAATCTTGGAGGCGTCATTTGTTAGAAATCTGCGTTGCATATTTTCACGCGATTTGATGTAATTCGATTGAATTCGGATTCCATATTTGAAATGCGTATGATACAATTAGAGACGAGTAAAGTAGTTTAAAGGTGAGAGGGTTTTTAAAATCTGTGGCGTGCATAGTAATGAGACCCAGTGATTTTAAGGCGTTGCTTTTGTATGGTTAATATGGCTGGTAAATGACAATGAGGAAAAAGTAATCCCTAAATCAGTTGTTGTTTCTCATTTATCTAATGGTGTATCATTTATGGAGTATCTTTTCTCGCATGAAACGTACAACATAACATTTCGAGATGAAATGATATCTGTGTCTTCATAAATAAAAACTTGGACTACTTATTTATTTATGACAATAAGTAATAATTAATTAACGAATAATAACAAAAAGTAATTTAATGAATGTATTGGAAACCAGAATTAGAGACTAAAAATCGAAATAAATTTTTTGTGGATTTGAAATTTACATAACTAAGTAATAAATAAGTACATTAATGTTATTAATACAACATAACATTTCGAGATGAAATGATATCTGTGTCTTCATAAATAAAAACTTGGACTACTTATTTATTTATCACAATAAGTAATAATTAATTAACGAATAATAACAAAAAGTAATTTAATGAATGTATTGGAAACCAGAATTAGAGACTAAAAATCGAAATAAATTTTTTGTGGATTTGAAATTTACATAACTAAGTAATAAATAAGTACATTAATGTTATTAATACAACATAACATTTCGAGATGAAATGATATCTGTGTCTTCATAAATAAAAACTTGGACTACTTATTTATTTATCACAATAAGTAATAATTAATTAACGAATAATAACAAAAAGTAATTTAATGAATGTATTGGAAACCAGGATTAGAGACTAAAAATCGAAATAAATTTTTTGTGGATTTGAAATTTACATAACTAAGTAATAAATAAGTACATTAATGTTATTAATACAACATAACATTTCGAGATGAAATGATATCTGTGTCTTCATAAATAAAAACTTGGACTACTTATTTATTTATGACAATAAGTAATAATTAATTAACGAATAATAACAAAAAGTAATTTAATGAATGTATTGGAAACCAGAATTAGAGACTAAAAATCGAAATAAATTTTTTGTGGATTTGAAATTTACATAACTAAGTAATAAATAAGTACATTAATGTTATTAATATATGCTTTCACTTGGCACACCTTTAATATTAATATCGATATAGGTACTTAATATTGGCGATTCTTTTAGATATTCTTTTAGATAACAGTTTTGGAATAAATGCAAAGAGAAATCTGTCTGAAAACTTTTGTATACTATCGTATATATAAAACAGAAAAATATCACCTATGTTAGCCTCAGTTTCTATTAAATTCATCAACACAAATGAAAGTGTGCCAGGAAGGAAACAAATGTCCAGTTTCAGGAAACGTGGCTAGAACATTTTCTTGGTCCGCAATTAAATAAGTGGAACGGATCGATTGACAGTTTCGCTAATGATCTCGATTCGTACACGACACCTGACTCGAGAGAATAGACAAGCGAACAAGTAGACCCTGCATTTCTAATACCAGTGAAAAAGCCATGATTCCACGCCGGCCACATCGTTCATGCACACAGACAATGTCAGTCCACCCGTTTGGTCGCACTTTCATCGTCCCACTTTCTCCGTCTTGTTCGGCCTGCTCGTTGACCAGACGCCGCCATGCTGTCCAATCAACCTTTATGCTCGATCAAGTTTTCTTTTTTTTATGCCTTCCTGTTTTTCGCATTTTGTCTCCCTTTTTTGTCTTTTTCTTTCTTTTGTTAATGGAAGATTGTAACTATTATGTGAAGGTGAAGGAAAAAAGATGAAGTTGTTAATTGTTAATGAATTATGTGTATTATATGGATTAACTTTACAATAGAATCGGAATATTAACACCACGAGTGTTGAATATTCTGGACATAAATGTTCTTTATAGACGACGTGCAGTCTGTTATGATTAAATTACGGATTTTTATATATTTATGAGAAGTTTAAGTGTGCAGAAGCGTGCAGAGGTATGCAAAAATATACAGGGTGATTGGTAACTGGTGGTACAAGCGGAAAGGGGGTGATTCTAGGCGAAAAAAGAAGTCGAAAATATAGAATAAAAATTTTTCGTCTGAGGCTTTGTTTTCGAGAAAATGGGGACTTTGAATTTTCGCTCGGTACGAATTTTCGCTCGGTACGCGTGCGGTACGTTATAACGGATCTCACAGTAGATCGTTGTCTCGATGGAAAAATTAAAAAAAAAAAATTTTTATTCTATATTTTCGACTTCCACCAGCAGTTACCAACCACCCTGTATAATTCCTTTATATTATTCCTCTATATTATTCCTGTATCTTGTATACAGGGTGGTTGGTACATATAGAATAAAAATTTTTCGTTCGAGGCTTTGGTTTCAAGAAAATCGATTTTGAATTTTCGCTCGGTACGCGTGCAGTACATTATAACGGATCTCACTGTAGATCGTTGTCTCGATGGAAAACTTAAAAAAAAAATTTTTATTCTATATTTTCGACTTC